AACAAGTGCCACGCTAGTAGTAACAGGTGCCTTACTAGTAGTAACAAAGAAGCTATTAAAATTAAGTTTAAAGTAGCTTGCGCATTTTTCTGGCCTTTCTTGTGATCTTACTCATGGTTGCCATGGCACTTGTTCAGATTGCGTTGGACGTCAAAGGCCGAGGATACGGCAGCACTGTCCATCCCTCGCAAGTCTCAAGGAGTGTTGCTCGAGTCGGAGGAGAGGATGACCGCAGCCATCTTCAAGCAAGTCATGAAGCTGCCTGATGCAAGCCAGTTCCAGAAGGATTCCTCATGCATGGGCATTGCGCAGTTTGTGGGAGGCATCGTCAAGTTCCAGCTCACTTTCCACCAGCTGAGCTACTTTGGGGATGATAGAAAAGTGAGCAGCACAGCCGGCAAAAAGCTGCCAGAGGAGCTGGCAAATTTGTCCACAACAGAGCTTGGAGAAAGGCTTCATGGAAAGATCAAAGATGCAGCGCGAACCTTTTGCGATTCCTGGCAGCTGCTACACCGAGCTACCACAAAGGACTTGCTTTACATCGAGCAGCAGTTGGAGCTCCGCCAGGCTGCTGGCAAAAAGGAGCCTCTGGATGAAGCCAAGCTGAAGAAGCGCTTAAGGTTTGATGAGCTCGAGAATGCAGTGGAAGCAATCACCAAGGACAGCGGCCCACTCATCAAGGAAGCTGAGCTTTACTTGCAAAATGTCTATCGTACCAACAAGATTGAGAGTGACGTGCGAGCGCTACTTTGTGACATCAACAAAACTGAAGGGCAGCTCAGTGAAAAAAAACGGATTCTGAGAGAAAAATTGCAGGAGAAATCAAAACTGCAGGGTGAATGTGCTGGGCTGGTTAAGCAGAAGGAGTTGGTTGAGGAAGGCAAGACTGGGGCAAAGCAGACCATGCAGTATCTTGAGAATGAACTCAAAGCTGTGGAAGGTCGCTTGTGTGATGCAACAAGAGATGAGAAGAACTACACCTGGTGGATGTTCGGCTCTTCCAGCTACGTTTGGCAGAATGATGTGGCACTTGCGAAGCAAAAGGTGTCACGCTTCGGGGAGCAGAAAGCCAAACTTGAGAAGGACATTGCCGACATGAAAAGTGGAGCTGCCGAGCCCGTGAAGCTCCTCAACGACAAGTTGACGCAGATCACCACAAAGCACACAACTACCCAGGAGCAGCTCAAGGCGATGGATGCGGACCTGAAAAAGGAGTGCGAGGAGGCAGAGGAGTTGGAGAAGAAGGTTGCAGAGGACAAGAAGAAGGTGGAAGACCTCGTGCAAGGAGAGGGAAAGAAAAGTGTGAAGCACTTGTTGTTGGCGCGGCAGGCGCTCAATGACTTTGCGCATTCTGCCACGGCTGGGGCAGACACAGCCGGGAGTGTCTGGCAAGATTGGTCCAGTGAGCTTCTTGCCATCACGGGTTATTTCGAAGAGATCATGGATGCAGAGACTCTGCAGATGCAACAGAAGGCGGTGTGGAAGATCAAGCAGATCCTGGGTAGGAACAAGATCCCCCTCCTGAGCATGATCCAGCAGGCGAAGAGGTTTAGCCTGACCCCAGGCGCAGAGGATTTCAACAGATATAACACCCTCCCAAGTCGCTTCTCGTGTTCTGTGGAGGATATCATGAAAGAATCACACGGGCCACACGCCGTGCTTGACGTGCAAGAGGTCGATTAATCAGCCCTCATATTACAAGATGGATATCCTGTGTGGGTCGCATGATGAGTGCCTAGAAACTTGTACAGAGGTGCACACAGGCGTTGCAGAGTAGCGCGAGCGTCACGGGAACCTCACCTGTTCGCAAAGCAACGCCTGGCGCCAGGATTTTGCCAACAATTCACACAGGCCAGGCGTGTAGAGTGGCGCGAGCATTACAGGAACCTCGCCGCATGTTCGCAAACGCCTGGATTTTAGAGCAAAAGTTGTTGTGGGCAGATGCATTTGTGCTTAAGACATGGCCAGGTTTTTTTGTCCACAGGTATTCACAAGTCGCTAGTGGTAGCCTTCACTGTGGTTTGCAGCACAGGCTGCAGCTGTGTGGGCGGACTTGGCAGATGGGCAGGCCAGCTGAAATAAGTCATGGGTGAGTAGTGGCATAAGGCACTCTATTAAGAGCGTTGCAACTGCAGTAAGTGGCAGAGCTTGTTCACTTCACAATTGTTTGATTAACTTGGCTCACAAGATGGAGCGTTGCTGACTTTTTGTCATGCAAGAAAAACTTCAACTTTTTCGAGCTGATCCGTGTGTGAGGAGACCGGGAGCCACTGAAATCCAGGTGGAGGGATACTTGGAGCTAGCCGGAAAAGTGGCCGCAGCCCGAGTGGGGGGATACTTGAGCCATCATTGAGCCCATAGCCCCCCAGCCACATGTTCTCGGCCCCTTTGTTTGAATCTTGCTCCTGCAATGTTTTTCAGGCTTGGATGGTACAGGGTCGAGTACGCTGCTTTGCTGGTACTGTTCTGTGCTTTCCTTCAATCTCGCCCCGACATGTCTATTTTGTGCTCTTTCCTTGGAAAGGTATTCCTTTTTCAAGTCCACTTCTCTAAAGACCTCTACTGTTCTGTGCAACTCTTCTCCGGAACCCCCGACGTGTCATGTGTTGCTGTTCTCCGGAAATCTCTACTTTGCAATGACATTCCAAACTGCTAGCAAGCCCACCGCAACTCACCACACACTTTATGCAGCCATGGCAGTCACGAGAGGCCAACCCCGTGCGTTCCTCTGGATTCAAGAAAACTCTGCGGGAGACTGGCCAACATTTCTGAACACCCGTTTTTGTGCCATTACTACTAGCGATGCACTTGTTACTACTAGCTTCTTGTTACTACTAGTAAGGCACTTGTTACTACTAGCGATGCACTTGTTTGCAGAAAACAATTCCTTTCATTTGGACAACAGTCAAGCCTGGAAGTGTCGTCGAGCGCCCTGTCAAGTTTGCACAAAATCTTTTAAACCAGAATGACACTTTCAAGATGAGTTGCGACAGTGAAGGCTAAAACTTTTGTTTGTAGCGCCATGTTTGGCAGATGGATTTTGTGATTCGGATTTTTTGCGTAACAACACGGGCGAGATGTTATGCGAGCGTGTTGCGTCCTTCGTTCCTTAGCCGCGCTTGCGCTGTGTGCTCAACTTGCCGCATGCTCAGTTGTGCAAAGAAGGTCGGGCCTTTGCCAAGCTCAGTTCCGTTTCCTTTACCTTCAAAGGTCGGGCCTTTGCAGGAGTGCTAGTGCTATATGTTTTATGACCCTCTGAGGTTCTTGTTAATTTCATCTCTTGATATGTGCAAGCGTGGCTGGTGGTGTTTTGGACTTCCTCCTCTGACGGGAATGCTCCATATCTGTAAATTCCACGCATGGGCAGTCTTTTTCCCAAACGTTGCTGGGAGCTTTCGGAGGAAAAGCATGAGCTTTCTGTGACTCACTTCATCTTTCTTCACCTTGTAACAAGTGCATCGCTACTAGGAGCAAGTGCCTTACTAGTAGTAACAAGAAGCTTCTAGTAACAAAGGGCA